CATGTTATAAATACACGCTGTAGTTCCTCAGATTTGTATTTTGTCTAACACAGGAAATCACACCAAAAAATGACAAGACCACTGATGGAGTGCCTGCACATTCTTCCCGTGACCATGATGTGCCCTCCACACCCACCAAGAGGGGTCCTAAGAAGAGACACTCCAGGGAGCAGAACCGCCATTTAGAAGGCTGTGCAGGAAAGAAGGCTTGTCTGTCATCATCAGAGAACAGCTGTGTAAGGAGACCTCTCATTGTTCTGCTATCTCATCTAAAGGTGGAACCTGACAATCTGGAGAGGTCCACACACAATTCTGATCAGGTGAGGCCTCTTCAGCGTTGGTTGGCAGAGAAGCAGTTATAAATGGAGCCATTCTCAAGTCAGGGAATGTTTACTATTTAGAAAGCGGAATTCTATGCATTGTATAGTGTCGGGATTATCATACAGAGCTGTTTACTCTTTGTAAGGTTTATGTATGCTATCAAAGTTAGGCTTTGGGTGAACGTGCCTTTTAGGCTTGCTCCACAGTTGTATGCTCATTTATGCAGTTCCCCTGAAGTGGAAAAAAAATGAATGGCCTACATTGAACCACTCCCTAATTGCACATTCACACCAGTGTGCTGTGGTAACACGTGCACCCCCACTACGGACAGTATTGGGCATTTTGCACTTTGGTGAACTGCGGTGCCATTCACTCTGAGTGGCACCTCAACGCACCTTCTGAGTGTACCTGCCTTGCAGTGCATTACTGTGTGTGGTGCTGCATTTTTGGTCCATTGAGTTGTGTTAGGCAGCCCATTTAAGTGAATGGTTTGCCTTAACACTAAACACAATCACTGCCGCAGACCAGACTGGTGTGAGCGTCCTAACACGAAAGGTTAGAACACTCACATTGTATGATTTTCTTTAGAAATGTTAGATTTAGATTCGATTATATGTCGGCTTCCCCATCAAGCATAGTCAAATGTTCATTTCGGAAATCGTTCGTTAGCCAGACTAACCAACCAATTTTTGACAAACGACAGAAATCATTTCCTTTTGCGCATGTGCTGTGTTCTTGCTGCGATTTTTGACGAACGGAAACCCCACTGATTCATCTTTGTTTTTTGTTCAGTCAGAGAATTTTCCAACCTGATGATCGAATCATTTCGATCACAATATCAAAAACGAAGAACGGTGATGTACTATCAACTGTTCGATTCTTCGTTAGATAGACCGTTCATATAAGATTTCCGCACAAAAATCGCTCAGTGTATGGGCACCTTTAGCCCTCATTCACATGGGTAACGGCCGGCCTGTACAGATAAGTGCTGCGTCCACGGCCGTATCGGGCTGGTCCCGGGAAGGAGGAAAGGACAGGTGCTGCGTGTGATTTGTATGCAGCAGCCTGTCCTTTTCTATGAGAGTAATCAGCCGTACGCCGCCCTACGCTCACCCGAACTGCACATCCGTATGGGTGCGGGTGTCCCTGCTGGGACGCAGACAGGATCCATCCTATCAGCGTACAAGTACGGGCACCTGCACGGATGTGCAGCGCAGGGAGGCGTACGGCCAAGTACTCTCATAGAGAAGGACAGCCTGCTGCATACAAATCACACGCAGCAACTGTCCTTCCTGGAAGCTGGCCGATACGGCCGTGCACGCAGCACAGATCTGTATGAGTCGGTCGTTACCCATGTGAATGAGGGCTTAATCTTTTACTACCTGAACACTTAACCAAACACATCAAATGGGCTTTTAAACCTTTGCTTGAAACTCGGCTCCCTTTTCCCTAATCTATTTCATAAGCTGATCTCTTAATACTCCCCTGCACTACGCCATTTTGCTTTATACTTACCTCCTCCTGTACCAAGAGCATGCAGGTCCCGTTCTGAAGTCATTCATCACTGAGATTCTGGTACCAGTAGAACCTGTTACAGGCAGCTCTGACCTGAATGTTGCATATGGCAGGACAACCCACATGCAGATTAAACTGCTTGGCTCTGTACGTTCCATCAAACGTGTTGTTGTGGCAGGGATCAGGACTTCCTTTCAATCACCCTATCAAGCCATCTTTGTGGCCCTGGCCTGAGTGTAGCATGTAATGTTCCTGTGTTTGACATTTATTACTAAACCTATATTTGAGATTGTATTAAATTGCATTCTGCATGTAAATTGTTTTAAGCTGAATTTGTTTTTATGAAATCTAAGTGGGTCAGTATTGATGTGTAATCCACTTTTTTATTAGAAGAGTTCAACTGATGAAGGTAAAGCCCGGGGCAAAACACCTCTTCACTTTTCATCCACGCACAATATACTCAACATTTCAAGTCTTCAGGAAGACAACACTGAGCACAAATCTGACTTGCCTGCAGAGATGAGCAGTGGGAATAAGCGCCTTGCTGTTAATCTTGTACGCTTGGGGGAAGAATCTGGAAATTTGGAGGAAAAACCCTTTAAAGATAAATCTAACCATGTGAATGACATAGATAAGGTAATACCTCCTCATCTGAAGGCTTACTAATTTACTCAGTGGCTTGGACAAGATTGCCTTTCTTTACCATAACCCAAAAATGTGTGGTCACGAGTGCCACTCATTATTACTGAAATATGTCTTGCAACAACAAGCATAAAAGTGAAACAAGTACACAAATTCACTTAATATAACAGTAAAATATGCCACTCTGTGTAAAAAACACACCAACACAAAGTACAAGGACTGCTATATAGTACATACATATAAGTGCTGCCGTGAGTTATCACAATGTGAACACATGCCACGACTTGCAGTAATAATACTTCAACGTGAAAATTATGCTTTTTAATAATCCAAACTGTGTAATGATTAGGGATGCACCGATACTAGTCCCGGTGCTGATGCCGAGCTATTTGGGCGAGTGTAATGACTCGCTGCCCGGCTTCATGCTCCCTCGTCAAGTCCTGACGAGGGAGCATGGAGTCGGCTCCATGCTTTCTCGTCACCTAGTGAGGAGAAGCATGGGGACGGCTTCCCTGCTAATCAGGAAGCCAGGTGGCGAGTCATTACACGCCATCTGGCTTCCTTAATGGTACTTTCGGTTAAAAAAAATATCGGTACTCTATACCGAAATACCGGTATCTGTGCATCCCTAATAATAATTTTGTGATTACTTTTGATTGGTGTGTGTGCGCACGCACGCTACTGATCACTGCAGTTGTGGCATGTGTTCACATTGTTATAACTCACGGCAGCACTTCTATGTTTGCACTTTGAGTAGATGAGTACTACTCCGCAGATACTACTCACTCTTACCATGTCATAGGAAATGTATGGGGCTGCGAACCTCTCTTGAAAATGTTAGTTCCCTGACTGTCATGGCTATTTCTTAATCTCTGACCCGGAATAAATATAGAGATTAAGGATGTGTGGAAGGCTTGGTGTGAACCAAGTTCGCCGGAGTTCATGCAAAACTAACTGACAGCCCCTTCCTCCTGGCCCAATTATTGGTGGCAGGGCATTCCCCACCCCTTTGTGATGTGTAGCTGTGGGGTGGGGAATGTCCTGGCTGCAACTGATTGGGGGGTGTCAGTCACAGTTTTGTACGGGTTGGGGATAACTCTGGGTTTGCACCATGCCCCTGCACACCTATAATAGTGATGAGGCATACTGACACTCATTCACTTCATGCATTTATTGGGTTCATGGCTTCAAACAGTATTGGAACCAGAAACAGCCAGGCAACTAGTGTTTTGAAAAGAGGACCAGCAGATGCAATTTGAAATGGGGATTCCATTAGTATTTGTGTTCATTGTTTTTTTGTGTGTGAAACTTAGGTCTCGTTCACACTACCGCGCATATATACACGTGTATTGTACCATATGGAGCATATGCAAATAAATGGCTCCATACACATAGCTGCGTATGGAGCCGTATATTTGCATAGCGTAATAATGCGCAAAAACAGAATGGAACCGAGATGCGCCCGGGCAGCGTATTTTACACGCATACATGTGTTTGCGCGAGTATACGCACGTACTCTCGTACATTTCTATTACGAATGATGCATTCTGGGATTGCATATACGCACATACGCGTGTATATGCGCAAATGTAGACGTATATACGCAATATACAATTTTGCTCTTGCGTTGTGTGTGAATGAGGCCTTACACTTTCCTGTTGTTTGAAACCATCTCTTTTTTTTATCCCAACAGAAAAGCAGGTCCAGTGTCTCTGTTACCAGTACACGGAGCAGTTCAACTAAAATAACTTCAGGGAGAAGTCTAAGGAAGAAGAATCTTCAGTCAGACCCCCTGGAGGAGGAAACAGAGTTATCCTTGAAGACGGACTTCACAGCAAATCTCAGAGCCAACTTGAATGTTAACCCTAAAGTTGTAGAAGAGGAACAATCCACAGAGGAGTCTGATAGTGAGGAACAGTCAGATGAGGTAATGTCTCCTGCAATACTTTTATTGTAGAGGTGATGTATATTGGGAGCTTGTTTGAGTTGAGCTGCATTACCAGTTGCCAGTCTTCAAAAATAAAATAAAAAACCTCCTGTCTAATGGAATAGATATACTGTATATGGTTATTCATAATCTGTTAACATTGTTAAAGGCTTAGTCCACCACCAGAAAAATAGTAAATGCCGCAGCATTGATCTAATCTAATACATTCAAGTACCCTAACTTTTAACAAAAATGTATCTTATTTGTGTATCAATCAGCTGTAGATCCTCAAATCATCTCTGAATTGGTGCTGACACTGTCCTTCCTTCTGGAGGGGGGCTACTTTTGTTCCCCATGGTCCCTGTGTGTGTTGTAAAGTAGTCACCGCTCCAAGCTCGCTTATTTTTTAAGATTTAACTCCTGAGTTTAGTGTCACTCTCTTGTCTATGGGATACCTAACATGTAATACATGCTAGTAAAGTGGCCTCAGGACTAATAGGTAGGAGGAATGTCCTCTCTTTGCCTCCCTTACCTGGCTTAACTGAAATGTAAATGTTGAAGTGTAAGCATGTACAAATGTAAGGCAAATACTTCAAAAATGAACTAATGTGACTCACTGAAAATACAACGTACTTCAAAAGCTTTTTAAGAAAGAAGGGTGCCTGCCAAGATTAAGCCTTTGTTGCTGTATACTTGTGACTTTAGCTCTGTCTTTCCATATGGCCTTAGTGACCTCGGATCCTTTGTGCTTCAATTTTTAACCTCTTATGGTCTACCATCCTAATCTTTGTCTGTCCTGCATCAATCTCATCTTAAAGTACACTTTGCTGACTTATATTGTAAAGCGCTGCGCAAACTGTTGGCGCTATATAAATACTATGTAATAATTATAATACTCATGCTCTGTGTCGGTCTAATCCTGCTTCATCCTTCACACCTTCTGTTCACCGTCCTATGTACCTTCCTGCTCACCTTGCTGATGTGCAGCTTTTGCCAGTAATCAGGCAGACGTGCAGGAATTGGTTTTTAAACTTCCTTATACAGTTTGGGTGTCTGATAGAAGATGAGGACTGCGGGGCTACCCCCTCCCACAGACCTATCACTAGCTCCTGGGCTAGCCACACATATAATACACAGCTGTTATACAAACTCTTCCTGCAGCAGGATTGAGATTGTTGTTGTGTCCAAAGGTGGGATTCAGCTCACTGCATATGAATCTGCTCTCCCTATCATGATTACAGTAAACCTACCTCCACAGTGATGGGGAAAATGTAGCTTGCTTGTGAGTTGGCAGATTGATGTGCTCTAGGCTTTGGAACTTGGTTGTGTGCCCCAGCAGAGGATGTGGCATGTCTCAGTTTGAGAATAGCTTTTTTGAGAGAAGGACGTGGCCCGCTATTTCTCATCTCTGTTAAAATGGCAGTTTCCTGGGTAATCCAGTGGCCTAATGCTTTGAGTTACTGCTCCAAAACTAGTATGACCTTGAAGAGTTCTGGCTTCATTTGCTGCATACTTATTACTGGTCATTTTTACACACAGTATTTTCTGGAGGTCAGCAAGGGCATCCAACATTAGATTCAGGTACAAGTGTATGTATAGCTGAAGCTTTTTAGTTTTGCATAGAGTAGGGAAGGGTTTTTTTGCTGTCCAAGAGATTCAGCAGGAAGTAAGTGGGGAGGGAATTCTTAGACGGCAGTCACTGGAACAAGTGTCTCCATTGGAATATTTACCCTTACCTCTTGTTCTGGGGACAACCCTAACATTTTGGATTTCTCCTCTCTCTGTTTTAGGTGAGATTGCAGGCTCTGGTGCGTTAATCGCGTGGGACCGTGTGATTTAACACACTGTACTAGTTTGAATGGGCCCTCCAAAAAAACTGACACAATCTCACACTCGGACATTCTCACACACACATATACACTTTTAAGATTCACCCAGTCTCCATACCTTCCAAGAACTGGAGTGGATCCTGAGCCTGGAGTCCAGTGTGGGCTGCTGTGCTGTGACAGAGCTCCATCCACATGCGCATTGCTTGTACAGCTCCCTTGTGCTCCCTGTAGAGGTGTCGGGAGGCAGAATGTGACGTCACCTAGTCTAGGCACCTCTACAGGACACACAAGGGAGCTGTAAGCAATGCACATATGGATGGAGCTCCCTCGCAGCCATACCCCCAGCGCACCCCACCTCAAGCTGACACTTGGCGCCGGGCAGCTTATTTTCAATAGCTGCTCGGCGCGAGAAGTGACGGTGCTGTGCTAGGGGGAGACTGAGGAGTCTCTCACCTAGTGCAGTAGAAGGCACGTGACGACCCACTGAACATGGGGTTGCAACCCATCCGTTGAGAACCATGGGTTTAGACTAGTGTTCACATTCTAGTACCCATGTCAACTGGGCTACGTGTGTGTGTGTTATTGCTACATTGTTTCAAAATGTCATTGTTTGTTTTTCAGGAGCACATGGAACTCTCTGCATACGAGCGTGAAAGACTGAAAAATATAAAGGCGAATGCAAAGTTTCTAAAATCCATAAAACTGCTCGAGGTAATTATGTTTTGAATATGAACTATCTACATTGTAAGGATTTAACAAACGTTATTGCCAGTTCTTTCTTTTTTCTGTTCTGGTGCTATTAATATAAGGTAAAAATATTTTTGTTACAACTCTTTAAAAGCATCTCCCTAAAAATGAATCTCCTGTTGTGAGGAGCAGTGAACCCATCATATGAATAGGGGATGACATTTCTGGGGATGTTCTAAACACAAACGCTGTCCAGTATGTGCAACATTTTTGTAGCAACTGCAAAGTGAAACACATTTCTAACCAGTTGACATCCGCGGTGTTAAACCCCCTTCCCATCCAGGCCATTTTTCAGTATTCAGCGCTGCAGTACATTGACTGACATTTATTCCGTCATGCAACGCTGTACTCAAATGAATTTTATACCCTTTTTTGGGGACAGATAGAGCTTTCTTTTTGGTGGTATTTATTCACCACTGGGGGTTTTATTTTTTACTATATTATGGAAAAATTACCGAAATTAAAAAAAAAAAACAGTTTCCCCTATATTAAATGATAAAACACTTATTATTACCCAATTTTGTGGTAAAATATAAAAGACGGGGTCACATCGGGTAAAAAGACACCAAACATGTCAAGCCTTAAAATTGCGTGCGCGCGCGAAACCTCAAGAAACGATAATACCCAAAATTGGCCATAAGCGACGCTTTAAAAGCTGTTACCGCTCATCAGTTTAGTGTTATCAGTGATTGATGGCCCTAAAATGATTGCTCTCACTGCGACGTTCGCGGCGATATGTAACATGTGTAGCGCAATTGTAATTTTTGCGCGCTGGGGCACCGGACGCGTATTTACGTTTATAGGCGCGTAAACGTGGGGGTGGGGGAGTTAAACATTTTGGGGGGTTTTTTTCCCCTTTTTTTATATGTGGCTTTTATTTTATTTTATTTTTTTATGTGTTACTTTTCTTTTTTTTTATTTATATTTTTTTTTTTGCACTTATTGTTATTGCTATTATATAGGGGGATAACAACCCCCTATATAATAGCAAAGGCACACTGACAGGTCCTCTTTATGGAGATATTAGGGGTCTCTAGGACCCCTAATATCACCTATGGACCCCAAAAGAAGCTGATAAAGCAGAGATCTGCTTTATCAGCTTCTTCTCTCTCCAGATGACTGACAGGTGAATGCGGAAGTGATGTAATACACATCACTTCTGCATTCACAGCCCGGAGGGAGACAGCAAGGAGCTGATCTCTCTCCCTCCCTCTTCCTCCTGACGCCCTCCAAGTCGGTCCCGGGCCGCAGATGGGGCAGCGGATCCCGGGATTGCAGGTGAGGTGTCGGGTTTGGGCAAAAAACCGGCTGGGGGGGTGGGGCGAAAAACGAGCACATATAGACGATCGGCGGGCTATGGAGCCGCCGATCGTCTATATGTTTAACACCCGGTAACGGGTGTTTGCATTGGTCGGGTCTTTTCTGCCCGTGCGTGCCCGCTAGGGGGCGCGCGCGAGCAGAAACAAAATGCCGTCTGGCGCCGGCAACCCGCCAATGCAGCAGTGCCGTCCGTCCGTTTTTTTACAACGGGCGGACGGCAAGCGGTTAATAAACAATATAGTGAATGAAAAAATGGCTGGTGTAGAAATCATGTGTTGTGTTTTGTTTTTTTAAATTTAACTATAAATATTGTCTGTTTTTCCTGGCATGCACAGATTTTATGCTTTGCCCAGTCTTCACAGTTACATATGACTATGTAATCTTTTTGCTGCCACTAATAATTATGATGCTATATTCCTTTCATAAATGGAACCTGAAGTGTTAGCCCTCGTTCACACCTGAACGTTTTGTAGCGCGTTTACGCTCGACGAACGCTCTACAAAACGCTCAAAAATATAAATCCCATTGTATTCAATGGTCTCGTTCCCACCTTGGCGTATTTCCGCCCATCCCTAACGCGCTACAAAACGGCCCACGCCTGAAAAGGTAAAGGTACTACTTTGGGCCGTTTTGTTGCGCGTTTCCATTGGGATACAGTCAAGTAGCCTTCGGAAGCGCGCGACGGTCGCGCAACTTTTTTACCGCGAAAAGCGGTAAAAAAGCACGACGGTCGCGCATATGCAATACGCCTAGGTGTGAACGAGACCTTAGTATGCTCGCTGATTCATTCTATTCACCCCAGAAGTCCATTGGACTGGTATCCCTATTTGCGTTTTACTAAATTACATCCCACGTGTCGTTCTGTTACTCTGGTCTAGAAAATTTATTTTATTTTTATTTTTTGTCTCCTTTATTCTCTCTCTTGTTTTAACTCTAATATCCCTAGAACCAGGGGTTGCTAATATTTCTCAGTATAAGCCAATTTTATTAAAGTGTCCCCAATGAGTTCTACAGATAAAGATCGGTCTTTGTTTAGATTTTTGTAAAAAAAAAAAAGGTCAAGTTTAATTCCAACATTTCTCTTTCTTTTCCTTTTTTTTCTTTTTTGTTAGTCTGCAGTAAGCCTTCATCCACCCAAGAAAAAGAATCAGAGCCGTATTGTCAAAAGGTAATATTTTCATACATAGAAGTTACTGTATATCCAGCGGGTTGGACGAAACTGTAGTTAGAGTATTGTATATGGTTTGATATTTATTTTTTTTCACTCCATAAAGAATAAATGTTTAAACATTTTCTGTGCCTTACACTTTTATTGCCATTGAATATATCCGTGTCAATGGCCGGCTTAGCTATCTAATTACTACAGAACAGTTAGAACTGATTCACACCATCACTTTGTACATGTGCTAAAATGTGTTTTCACAGCAACTCAACAGTGACAAATAAGTTTCCCATAAAATCTATAAAGCTCCTCGCGTTAATATGTTCAGTTGTGGCAAAGTGTCATTTTTGTTCCAGTTTTTAAAAAAATGCAGATTGTTCTATTATTTATTATTGTAAACGCACTAAAGACACAATATGCATTTTAATATGTGAGCGCTCAGTCACATATCCGTGATTTCACATGTTTGCAGGGAAGACATTGAAAAAATAGCAAAAAAGCAGTAAAACTGTGCCTGCTATTGCACTTTTAAATGGCCAATAGCAGGCTGCCTATTGCACCAGCACACTACCTGCTGCCATCTGCAGAATCTTGCCAGTGGCAGCTGTCATTCCCGGGCTGAAGCTATTCAAGCGCCATGTGCTTATAATACAATTATAAAAAAAAAATAATAATGTTTCGGCCTGACAAATTCTGCTGCGGGAGGTGCATTGCAGTGCCAATCATTTCAATGGCACCCCAAATGTGCCTCCCTCACCCACAGTGTGATCACCCCAGACTGGAACGCACGGTACTGCAATGCCATGCATTCCAGTGCGGTGCGATTGCAAAAAATTGTGCATGCAGTTTTATTCTGAGGTAAACTTTATGTTTGTAACACTCCATTTGTGTACTTTATTTTAAATTCATTACGATATTTATTTTTTTATCCGATTAATCGAAAATATAATCGGCCAATTGATCAATTATGACAATAATCATTAGTTGCAGCCCTAGCTATGCGTAAAATTAACAGATAATTCTTGGCGTAGTGTTATCTAGCTTGAGTATATCAATTTACTTGGCAGATTATTATATCTCATGGTGACCCCGATACACTCTCCAGATGATGATGGCTATGAAGGTGTTGCATTCTTAATGATTTTAATGTATTTAATTTGGATGAGAGCTTTTGCTCCTTTATTGCCCAATCATAGGCTGGAGTTAGGAGGGAGACCTAGATGCATTGCTTAGCTTCACAAGAGGAAAGTCAGCTCACAAACCTGGCTCTGTTGTCTGGCAGGACTGTGTAAACCTCAGTACTGGATGGACAGAGATACAAATCAGCTGAAACATAAAACTGTTCTCATATATGTAATTCAACTGTGTATTTAGATGTTTGGCTGGTGTCCAGCTTTAAATGGTAGAGTATTCTTAGGGTAGAGCAGGAGAACCCTCCCCCAACTTCCTCTGTCATGGCAGTTTTGCCTGGAGGAGATTTTCAAATGATAGAAGTTTGGAAAAATGATCGAGCTAGATTTAGGTAAACCATTGATTACAAAGATGCTTTATAGAGGAAAAAACTTTCTTTAAATGAATGGTTTTTATTATTGTGTGTGTGTGCGCGCTCTGTAACAAAAAATCACTCTTGTGCAATTTATTTCATAAGTATAACAGTTGTGTCTGCACTTTATGGACGTATTGTTATTGCCTGCTGGTTTGTTTTTGTTTTTAGAGAGAAGCCTCAGAACACAGGGAATACAGTTGTTCGCCGTTCCATGAGGCTGCAGAACGTAGCTCCTTCTCAAGTTAAAATAGAAGAGCAAACTCCAACCGTGGAAGAGGATGTAAGTGGGAGAACCATTGTGGCAATTAGCATGTCTGCAGTTAGATAAAAAACAAGAACAGTTCATATACTGCGAACATTTCTAGTATTGGATTGAGTAAGGAAGGGTTAAAGCCCGTCTGTGGTTTTTTTTTGTCAGGGAGATTTCTGTTCACTTCCTGTCCTGAATTCTCAACATGCAGTGAAAATAAATCTCTTCAAACTGAGAAGAATTTCCCTCTTAGATAGTTGTCACAAGAACAGTTGTCCCCATTGCAAGAGTTCTCCTCACCTCTTGTTCTGGAGACAATTATTTTGAGTGCTGTCAGTTATTTATGTTTTTTATTTGTATGAGCAGTGACATTTTCAGGTCAAGCTTTCAGGGGTCTTCCACCCCTTTCTCGGTCCACACTGTACTGTTACACACAATTAAAAAAGGAAGTATCCTGGACAGAACTTAACTGCGTTTATACAAATACACTAATACGGCTAAATTCACCTTTTAGGCATCTAAAATTTTGAATTTCTCTTCACTGTGTCTTAATGGCAATGGTCACTGGGACAAATTGGGTGAATCTACAGGTCCTATCAGGGACACAAATAATAAAAACCTGACGGGTTCTAACTCCCCGTTTGGTTATATAAATAAAGGTGTGGTGTGTATTTTTGTGCACCTCTGGATCAGAATGAGCTCAGATACCCATTTGGTCCATCTGATTTGACTGTGACTTTTATCATTGGATGAGGCACTCTGTGTCTAGTAAAATGCTGGTGTATGGTAATGTTTTATATTCCTGACATTCTACATCTTTCGTCTTGTATGTTCTTAAAGTCCCGTGTTTTTGTTCTGTAAGGTGCGGCGTATAAAACCTCCGGGTCCCATTGAAATGATTCCTATAAACCAACAGGATGACGATAAAGAAATGGACCATTTCCTGACAATGTGGACTTCCATTAGCCAGGTCTGTTATTGTTGTGACATTTGATGGTGTTTTTACTGATCTTCTTAAATAAAGTGTTGTGGGTTTTTTTTTTTTTTTTTACTTTAACCACTTGGAGACCGCGGTGTTAAACCCCCCTTCCTGTCCATTTTTCAGTATTGAGCACTGTGCTACTTTGACATTTATTCAGTCATACAACACCGTACTAAAAATAATTTTATATAATTTTTTGGGACAGATCGAGGTTGTGTTGGAATTTAATCACCACAGGGGTTTTTATTTTTTTACTATATAAAAACAATTTGCGAAAATTTTTAAAGTGTATGCAAACCCACACTCTAAAATGTAATTTAATTCTTTACATGTTGATTTTGTTACAAAGATAATTTTGAATATTTCCTTTACCAAAACAATACCGGGCAATTTTACCATGAAGAGCCTTGTCTAGGTCTTTTCTGTTTTGGGGGTGGCAATGCTCTTTCCTTCTGCTGCCCTACTGCATTGTCTCTTCATGGAAATTATCTGCAGTAGTGCTAATGCTTGTGTTCAACCATTGTCACTATCGTGAATCCCATCTGCAGAAATGCCATACAGCCCTTGCTGAAGTGATTACATGTAGACTGGAACTGCACACAGAGGCAGCAGGAGGTCAGAGGCTCTTTGATGCAAAAAGATGAAAAGAAGGTGAAAACAGTTTGTTTGTAAAAGAAAAAACATGGCAGTTCTTTGACACATAGGGGGATGAACAAAGAGTAGTGCAGGCTTTTATGCTTTCCAGACTGAAAAATGCAGAAAATGCAATTCCCTTTGTTAATTATGAGCAATCTAAACCATTTCTTATGCCATGTCTGTGCCAGCATGGAGAGCTGAAGCTGCTTGCTCTGGCTCTGCCCAGGTAATGTGTTCACTGCACGGGTAGAGAAAGGCATGTGGGTTGTCTGCTAGGTTACTGGCAGACCGTTCACATCCCATACTCCTGGTCCAATCTTGTGGGGATCTACAGCTGTTCTCTATATAGAAAACTGCTGTTCTCCCTTTGTTATACAGGCGCAGTACCCACAACAGTTTATTTTTCATTTAGTAATAGAAAATGGTGCAGCTGGCGCAGATAGACCCAAAACAGGTCCATCTCCTTTTTTTTATGTGATGCTTGTCACTCTCGCAAGTTTCCTGTGCCTTTATAAGTGAGCAGGAAGGTTTGTTTATTCCATCCAGAGTGCTTGAGCACACTAAATGTCCTTTATTGAGGTTTACATCTACTTTTAAGTTCCTTTCACACATGTGATGCTTTCTGTTCGTTGTCAGCTATGAAAACAGTCTGAAAAAAATGACACTGAGAACAGAGGATGTTGCGAAAGTTGTCTTTGGTCGAATATTGTCTGTAGCCATCCATCCCTCTGAAAGCCGGACACTTGTGGCATCTGGAGATAAATATGGTAACATTGGACTCTGGAATTTGGTAAGTGATGGGCTCTTATTTTTTATCTGGCAGTGACATGTTGTGGGGTTTTTTTTCACAAGTAGCTATATAGCTCCATCAATTTACACTTTACATACTATTCATTCACATCAGTTTACTTGTAAAGAAACGGTCAGTTAACCACTTGCTGTCCTGGTCATTATCTTACTATTTGCGCACACATGATAAAATATACATTTTTGGCTAGAAAACAGCTTCAAACCCCAAACAATGATATATGTTCTGAAAGCAGGGGCCCTGTCGATTAAAAAAATGCTAGTTGCAATTTTTTATGTCGCAAGGTTTTTGCGCAAATGTTTATCAAACCAGTATTTTTAGGAAAAAATCAACTAAATTAAAATTTTGTGCATAGAAACTATATTATATTATAACAATATTATACCCAATTATTTGGTAAAATATGAAATACGGGGTCATGTCGGGTATATAGATACCAAACATGTCAAGCCTTAAAATTTGCGTTCGCCTGAGAAGCCGCAAAAAAAGTCAATACCCAAATGTTTAGTGCTAACAGTGATTGATGGCCCTAGAATTGTTGCTCTCACTCCAACGTTCGCGGCGATATGTAACGTGTATCGCAATTGTCATTTTCGCACATAGGCGCACCGACGCGTGTTTGCGTGTGTATGTGCGTGCACATGGGGGGCGGGGGACTTGAAAAAATATTTTTTGCATTTTTTTTCTTTTTCTTTTGTTACTTTCATTTTTATACTTTTTAAACACTTTATTTATTTTACACTAATTCTATTGCTATTATATAGGGGGCTAGCAAGCACCCTATGTGATAGCAGATGGGGTGTGACAGGTCCTCTTTATGGAGACATCAGGGGTCTTTCAGACCCCTAATGTCACCTAGGGACCCCAAAGAAGCTGAGGAAGCACAGATCTGCTACCCCAGCTTCATCTCCTGGCTCTATTGGCGGCTGTACAGACGCCGGATCGCTTGTACATTAACAGCAATCGCCTTCTGTTAAAAGCGATACCAAGAACACGGCTGTTGCAGCAGCCGTGTTCTTGTTTTAACCACTAACGGGCCGCTGTCTATAGACGTATTGCGGCCCGGAAGTGGTTAATTTGCACTTTGCTATGCAGATATTCATAGTGTTGTGTGGTATAAAAAGAGCAGTACTTTTTATAGTATTTCCTTGTTTGTTTCTCTGCTAAATTTTATACACAGATAAGATCCCTTGTTGCGCTTATTTGTTGACTGCAGTATTGCTGTAATATAGCTCTGCTTTTAGAGCCCTTCCATATGGGCAGTCCGATCAGGTCCGCCTGTCAGTTTTTAAGGCGGACTTGATTGGTAGCCCAGTGTTAGTCTATGAGCAGCCTGATCTAAATGGACATGCGTCTGTTTACAAATGATTTACCTCTGACTCCGGCTAGGTCCAGAAAACCAAATGGAACAGAGGTCCATTTTGGTGGGCCTGATTGTGGCAGATCCAGAGGTAGTCTGATGTAAATGGACACATCTCCATTTACATCAGACTCCCCATACACCAATATGGGTCCAGTAATTTTCGTTTTTTTCCTTCATCGTAAGATGGAGGAAAAAACTATACGTACACAGATGTCACAACGGTGACCTCTGCTCCAATTGGCAGGGGATCCGAGCACGGGTCCCCTGCTGATCAGAACTCATGGTGCCTGTGTGAAAGGGGCCTCAGTGTTAAAGTGACATTAAAGTAAAAAAAGATGTTTCCCTCGCCCCAATGTTAATGTCAGCACTTACCTTAAATGAGGTTTCTTCATGACTGAGCTTGTTTTTAGTTTCTGTTCGTAAATGACTGACACACTTTTGACATTTTTGCTGTGTGATTCTTCCACGTCAGTAATATACTTTCTTACAAAGTGCACCCACACATATTATATATTGTTTTTTAGAGGACAGATAGGGTTACACATTTATATCACATATGTGTGTCTAACGCCTCACTTAGGAGAAATAAAATTAAAAAACACACTTTTTCCCCAGTTTTGATTTCTAGTATTTTTTACAAAACCAGCACAGCTAAAAAAAAATGCAATAAATAGATTTATTTATTTGTCCTTTATTTTTTTACACTTTTTTTTTTCTTTACACTTTTCACTATTTTTTTAAAACTTTTAAAATTTGTATTTATTTAATTATCTCAAGCTGTCATTGTGAATTAATCTCACTATTACTGCTTGATAAATTAATACATTTTTGGTTATTATTAGGCTGTTTCAAACTTCAGAACAGCCAATAATAAGTTAGTGACACTGATCCTGCAGCAGTTCAGGATTCAGCTGTCGCTTCTGAACGTTCCAACAACGATTAGAAAACTGAAACATTCTTCTTTCAGGAATAGATACATTATGTGTCTATTCCTGAAAGTGAAAGAAAAAAAAAAAGCCAGTATACGATCTGAGAGAGATATCTCCTAGATCTATAGGAGCTGTCAGAATGCCGGCGTGTTTGCCCGCTCTGCTTTGACTCTCAGACACCCGATATTAAGGTATCGGGTGTCTGAAAAAGGTTAAACCTTTCATTAATGAATGCCTCTATACTGAGGCATCCATTAATGAATGGTAACCGCTGATTCTCAGCGGTTACCAGCCCTCTAATGCAGCAAATGACTCGTCACGTACAGTGTACGTGACGAGTCATTTGGTCCCTTTGTGGCGGGACGTACAGTGTACGTCTCCCGTCACGAAGGGGTTAATCCGATCTACTTCTTCTTTCCTGATGTTTTCATCTGTCCAGCGCTGCGGCGAGTGTCCGATCCAGCGCTGACTTCTCTGGGCTTGCAGGCACTTCTGATCCCGCGGTGTCTGCATGCGGGTGCACGCGTCCATAGACCTACCTTGCGTCTCTGCTCGTCTCCTGGCCGAAAATCCGAACTGCGCATGCGCCCGCCCCAAAATGCTTATGCTTTGTGGCTGCCAGAGCAGTTTCGAATTCTCGGTCGGGAGCGGTTTGAATGGTCAAACCGTAAGTTTAAACCGCTGTTAAAACATTTTTTGTTTTACTTTTTGCATATATCTACTGCTTGCTAAAAGTAGATATATGCAAAAAAAACGGAGGGTTTAGAACCACTTTAAGGGAAAGTGTAGAAAATGGTCGTATTGGCTACAATAGTAGCAGTTATAGGGCAAAACAAAAAAACACCTATGCACTACGTCTCTGCAGTCCCTGTCGATCTGCTAGAAATGCACTGGGCTCTTAACTGCCAATTATGAGCTGACCGCACACAGCATATTATGGACTTGTGACAGCCCTGACCAATTTCATTTGCACAACTACTCAAGCATTCTTCTCCAAATCATTTGGCTTGATTTGTAGTCCTAAGATGAAAAAGGTTAATGGTCTCTTTGAGATGCTGCAGGCAGAGGATACAGGACAGTTCTGAATTTCTGGCAAGATCATGTTTTTGTTTGTACTTCTAAAACATTGAGATCTCTGATGTTGGGTGATTAACTACCCAGTGCCCAGTATCTGGTGGTATTGGTTCCCTCTATAAATTGATATCACATCAATTCCCTCTATACTTGATATCTCAGCCCTTATTAACTAGTATAGGTGTAATATGCATGTAATGTGATACATCGATCTAATATGCAATAATGTTTTGAAATCGTGTACTCCAACTGTCTATGACCTACTAAGGTTTCCTTACTGACACGGCCAAAAGTACAATGCTTGTCCTCCTAGAAAGAGACAGTAGATTATTTTTAACTTGCTCTCCCAGAAATTTGACAAGGTTTGTAATACTGCATGGCCAGATCTACAGAAGCAGCACACAAAAACTCCAGTCACTCTAGTGGGAAGATTTGTATAGCTATACATATTTTATATCGGGCTGGCTGTAGCCCTGACTTTGTACAAGTGTGGTCAGAACTTACAGATCAGTTGTTTAGCATCAATGTTCATCTTCCTCTTTGCTTTCTAGGAAGACAATTCAGCTGAAAAGGAGATTTATATCTTTGAACTCCATTCACGGCATGTCAGCAGCCTGTCGTTTTGTCCATGGAGTCCTGCACATTTGCTGTCACTCAGCTATGATGGCACAGTGCGCTGCGGAGATGTCACTCGCTCGGTCTTCGATGAGGTCAGGGTTTTTTCTTTTTAATATTTTAAAGCCTTGCATATCTGTACATACAATGCTACATTGTAATATACTTATTTCTTAGCACAGTGTTACTTTAAACATGTGCTAAGGAAGTATACAGACTATTTGTTGACCTCCAATTCTGAGTATAATCATTTCCTTCTGAGTCACAGACCCTGAAAATCTATGTACATTATGAGCTTTGCAAAATTTTTTTTTAGGTTGAGTGACTCAAAGTAGTGATGGCAAAGATGACCAGTCTTTTTTTCTTAGACCAGATTTAATTTCTTCTTAACCATAATAGCCATATACACATTGGTTTGTTCTGTATATCATCCAAAATTATTGTTACTTTACCCAGTAGCTGCATACATGTGTGCTTCCTACTGCCTTACATATTGTTACTGATGATAATGTTTCAATATTCTTCCATTTTAATTAATGTCTGCCTCCATATTAAATACACTATATTGTCAAAAGTATTGGGACACCCCTCCAAATCATTGGATTCAGGTGTTAAGTGAAATTTCCTTGCTACTAAATATTCCACGGTCAACTGTTAGTGGTGTTATAACAAAGTGGAAGCAACTGGGAACAACAACTACTTAGCCACGAAGTGGTAGACCACATAAAATGACAGCGGGGCCAGCGCATGCTGAAGTGCACAGAAGTCGCCAACTGTTTGCTGGGTCAATAGCTACAGACCTCCAACCTCCATGTGGCCTTCAGATTGGCACAACAACAGTGCATAGAGAGTTTCATTAAAAATGGGTTTCCATGGCTGAGCAGCTGCATCCAAGTCTTACATCACCAAGTACAATGCAAAGTGTCGGATGCAGTGGTGTAAAGCACGCCGCCACTGGACTCTAGAGAAGTGGAGACGTGTTCTCTGGAGTGACGAATCACGCTTCTCTGTCTGGCAATCCGATGGATGTGTCTGGGTTTGGCGATTGCCAGGAGAACGGTACTTGCCTGACTGCATTGTGCCAAGTGTAAAGTTTGGTGGAGGGGGTGTTATGGTGTGAGGTTGTTTTTCAGGGGTTGGGCTTGGCCCCTTAGTTCCAGTGAAGTGAACTCTTAAGGCATCAGCATACCAAGACATTTTGGACAATTTCATGCTCCCAACTTTGTGGGAACAGTTTGGGGATGGCCCCTTCCTGTTCCAACATGACTGCGCACCAGTGCACAAAGCAAGGTCCATAAAGACATGGATGAGAGAGTTTGGAGTAGAGGAACTTGACTGGCCTGCACAGAGTCCTGACCTCAACCCCATAGAACACCTTTGGGATGAATTAGAGCGGAGACTGCGAGCCCGGGCTTCTCGTCCAACATCAGTACCTGACCTCACAAATGTACTTCTGGAAGAATGGTCAAACATTCCCATAGACACACTCCTAAACCTTGTGGACGCCTTCCCAGAAGAGTTGAAGCTGTTATAGCTGCAAAGGGTGAGCCAACTCAATATTGAACCCTATGGAACCAATACTTGAACCAATACTTTTGGCAATATAGTGTATGTTCTATCAGGTCAGCTCCAGGAAAAGGAGTCACTCCAGGAGTAAAAAAAACAAATCCAAGCTGTAGTCCTAAAAGACATTGCAGCAATGTTTAAAGGGATCTTGTAGCTAAAAAGAAAATCAAACCGAAAGCTTCTGTAAAAGAAAATGGTCGTGCTGATCTGGTCCAGTGCTCATTCTTGGAATGTTTACTCTACTGCACCACAAAGCCACTCTAAGAATCTTCACATCAGAGACACTTCCAGGTGGTATCAGATGCCTGTGGTCCCCACAGAGCACACTGTTGGTGGAAATGGGTCCAAGATTCTGCATTTTGGGTTCACTGTCCTGTTTAAATGGTTTATGTACCTTTTTGGAGCCCAAATGCAATCACAACCTTGGCGCATTGATCATGTTTTTATTGCAGTCTCTGTCCTCATTGTCCTGTCCCAGTGATCAGAGGAAGTTATGGGAGATAACAGTAAAACCTGACAGATTTTAATTCTTGCTGTTTATCGCTTATCATCAAGAGGTTGTGCTTGCTTTTTTCTTAGTAAGTGAGGGGGATCTCCACCATGAGGACAAAGGTAGAAGTAAACACCTGCCCGTGGTATTAAACCTTCCCCGTGTTATCCAAAATAAAGGTTTTTAGCTGGAGTTAGGATTTAAACCTGTTCGTTATGGAGTAATCATGTAAACTTTTCTTGATCAGGGACTTGGCTGTTTTCTGGTACAGGAGTAATGTAAGGTTCATCATATTTCTCTACAGATTTATCGTGATGAGGAAGAAAACTTCTCTTCGTTCGATTTCTATTCAGCTGATGGTTCTGTCCTGATAGTCAGTCACTGGGATTCTAAGCTATCACTGGTGGATCGCAGGACCCCTGGAACGAGCTATGAAGTGCGAGCACCTTTAGATTTATCAAGCCCCCGCTCTGTTAGTGTGCATCCATTGCAGAGAGATGTGTGCGTTGTAGCAGGAGCTGGGTAAGTGTTGGACCACACATTAATAGATGAAGAAATTGGCTTATCAATGCACTGCTCCTCTCCATAGGAAATGTTGTTATGATCTAGTCTTTAAAATACTTCAGATCATACACTTCTTCTGTGGCATGAGGATGTTCTGCAGCCACCATGAGAAAAGGGGCATGGTACCTCCTAGAAGTGGTTTAGTTTTTTTTAATGCATGTCCCAAATCACAGGGATGTTTGATATTTCAGATGTGCAGATAAGTATAGAATCTGTCCACCGACCCGGAGCAAACAGAGCTACATGTAAAATAAAAAAGGGACACTTTATTTTATTACACTGAGAGGCTGTAGTGAAAGATGTAATGTGAAAAAACCTAATATATATATATAAGTTATCCTTTTATTTTATGTCTAGGCTTTTTATGAGCTGAAACATGTATTTGCCTTGGCAAAATCTGTACATTGAAAGCCAATTTGTTATTAGTAAGGGGAATTCATTGTAGCATAAAATGCAGGCTCCTGTGCACTGCTACCCATTGATTAGAGATGACAATCAGAGATTTGTATCAACATGAATAAGAGCTTGGTGAACCTTTTATACTGCTCAGATGAAACCTCAAACTGGCAAAAATTACTGGTAACGAGCAGTACAGAAGCAGCAGCCAAAGCAGAGTGATCACGTCTTGTTGAATATTCTCAGAGGAGTAAGAGCCCACTCAGGCGTATCCATTGTGTTACTGCCATTTATTTTCACTGGTACCCCGACACACTATGGCAACGCACCTCCATCACATGTGTTGCAGCGTACCACAGTGCATAGTATTGCACTACAGTGAGGTGTGGGGCTCTGTGTCATTAAAAAACATGGGGGGAGATCCTTTTGGGGGGGGGTGGGGGGGGGTGCATTGGCAGCCCATGCAAATGAATGGGCTGCCTTAATGCAATTCACATAAACACATGTTGGTTAATGTAACACAACAATCTGAATAGGCTCTGAGCAGTCTGCTTCCAACTGCTGTTGTTTTCACTGGAGCTCTGGGTCAAACATACATGTCCTGTGCTTGCATACATGTTTGTACAGTGATCTTTCATTTGCAAGATCATTTGGTCAGATTGTACGTGCAGGCCGACCCCCTTTGGATGTCTGCAACTACCTTAAAGAAGAACTCTAGGAAGTAAAAAATTTTTAAAAAACCCACACTGCAAAGGTTAACTGCTTATTTTGTGTCTAGATTTAAAAAAAAGTTAGAACACCTGAACCATGGAACTGGCTTGTTCTTAGACTGGTCTTTCCAGTCGCTCTCCCCCTCCTCTAAAGCGGTCCAAGGTCCCATAAATCATCATGTTCTATACACACATGAGGACACTGATGAGCATTCTAATGCTGCAGCGTAGGAGGAGAGAGGCTGGAGGGAGCATTGTGGCAGCTGGCCGGCGTGGAGCTTCAGGTTAATATAACTGTGTTATTTTGTAACCTGGTGGTAGCCCCCATGCAAGGGTTAATGCAAATTGTTCCTGGAGTTCTTTAAGGTGGGCATACATGTTTTGATACAATTGTTTAATAGAACTAGTCTTTGAATATAATGACTACAGCTATCTGTGGTGAAAGATATTTCAATACAGCTTTAGCAATAGAATGGGAAAAGTTACTTTTAGTAACACTCATTGTAATCTTTCAGATGAATCATTTTATGTATACAGCTGATCTCCTTCCAGCAGAGACCAATAAAGCTGACCACGTGCAAATATTTATCTGGCAGATTCCACAGTAAAAGTAATAAGTGAGATGTACCCGCACCTGTGTAGTGTAAACACTGGATATCATTTCAATGTACTATGTAGGTATATTCACTCTATATAGTCATTAGTACATTTTGATGGCCTGAAAGTGACACTAAACTCAGGAGTTCAATGTTTAAAATACATTCAATACCTTAACTATTAATAAAAATGTATCTTATTTGTGTATCACTCGGGTGTGGAGCCTCCAATCATCTCTGAATTGGTGCTGACACTGTCCTTCCTTCTGGAGGGTGGCTACTTTTGTTCCCCATGGTCCCTGTGTGTTGTAAAGTAGTCACCCCTCTAAGCTCACTCCTGTGGTGGACTACAATCTCAATACAAATTAATGTACAACTAAATGTGAGATTGTAGTCCATTACATGCACAAATAAACTACATTTGTGTTAATAGTGTCACCTGAAAGATCAAAACTAACTGTGGCCTAAGTCACTGGCCAGCTTTTCCATGCGGTATATGTAGGTGCCGGATTGAATTCACTAGGAACACTTGCAGCGTGGTGTTTAAAACTGGTTGTGTAAATGTGGATTTCTAGGGTTTCTGATACATGTCTGGAATACATGGAAACTGTTTGGCAGTAACCTGAGCAGAGTGCATGGTGTAGGAATAGTGCAAGAGCTATCAATACCTCCTGTGTAAGAGAAGCGTGCAGTGCAGTGTCAGCAGAGGGAACACATTTCTGTCCTGAAGTATTTGGAGATGTGCCCTGTCCAGCGATTCCATTCTGCTGCCATCAGGGACCGATGAAGTGCTCAGCCATACATTACATGACTTTCATCTTTTTCACCACTTAGCAGAATAATGAGCGTCCCTTTTTAATGTGTGTTTTCCGTTTTCTCCTTGCAGAGACGTATGTGTTTATGACATCAGACAACTCTCACATAGGAAGCCTCGCCCTGTGGTTTCCTTACCTGGGCACACAAGAATCGTGCAGTCTGCATACTTTTCCCCAGTCACAGGCAATCGTATCCTCACTACCTGCGCTGATGATCGCTTACGGTAATAAATGTTTGTAGAATTTATCATTTTATATGCAGTAAAAAATCAAACCGATGATATCAGTTTAACCACCGAAAATGATAAAACTGACCTGAAACCATTCGTTTCCTTTGAAGTCATTCATGCACAGAAGATCCTGCACTCTCCACAGGCTCTGAGTCATTCGCAAATGTGACACTCCCTATTAAATCTATTTATGAAATGGTGGAATGTTCAATAGTCCTGTAAAACGGCATACAGTGCATAACTTGACGCAAAAGCTCTGGATGATAGAACTCGCCCAGTTATCTGTTAAAACAATGATTGCCCGGAGTGTGGTCTGTTGTAGACCTGTGCACCGGCAAAACATTTGTTTAGTTTCCTTTTTCTATTCGGATTTTGCGTTCTTTCATTTTTCGGGATTCGGGTCCGAAAGTCAATTCTTTTTTTTCTTTTTAATGTCACTTTACTGCAATGAAAATTCGTACAGACTACCGCTAACGAATTTCGTCTGATTTTTTTGGGAAATTCGGAATTTGCTTTCTTCTTCAATTTGTTTTATTAGGTTTTCAAAGTGCAGTGTATACAAAAACTGTCTAGTAACAGTTGCACAACGGAATAACAATTCGCCTGAACATCAGGCGACATAGATAACAGTACATTGAACAGTCAGGGGGGGGATTGGGGGATGGGGAGAGGGAATCAAGGCAGTTGCTGCTGATGTCCAGTGTGGTATATTGTTTGCTTATGAAGGGAATGTTTTAGACATCGGAGGAAAGGCCCTTAAGGCGGGTCTGGAGTGCCCTAAGTGCTGCTAATTTCGGGCAAGGGTAACGAGCGAGGGGGCTGAGGAGGAGAGCAAAGGCAGTAGGGGGAGAAGAATAGAAAGAGGGTAGGTGGAGATGGGGGAGGCGGTGACTACCCCCCGGGCGCCATGGCGTAATGGGTATTCAGTGACTGAGGCTTCGAGTTACTGGGTCAAGGGTGAGTAAGAAAACGGAGGACCATGGGTCCCATATGGCATGGAATTTCCGGTTCGTGTCCATCAGTATGCTAGAGAGGTGTTCATTAACAAAAAATCCTAACACCCGTTGGTGGAATTCAGGATAAGGAATAGTTTGTTTTTTCTACGAGTGGGCTATGGTTTGTTTAGCTGCTAAGAAGAGGTAGTTAGCTAGTTGCCATTGTGGCCTTGTAAGTTGTGGGATTCTAACATGAAGTAAAGCCTGCCAAGGATCTTTTGGTATAGATATGTTGAAGATGGAATGGAGTAGTCTATACATTTTGGTCCAAAACCGCGCCAAGAAGGGGCAGGTCCACCAGATGTGCATAACATCGCCCACGGCTCGGAATTTGTTTTCATTCGTCATTTCTGTTATTCGAATACTTCCGAATAACGAAAATTCGTCCGAAAAAACGAATTTTAACAAAACGCACATGTCTAGGGCTGCAGCTAACGATTATTTTCATAATCGATTCGTTGGCCGATTATCAAGTTCGATTAATCGGTTAATCGGATAAAAAAAAAAGGCTCCAGTGATTGACGACTAGTTTGTGTTAAGATTGTAGTCCATCACGGGAGCAAGCTTGGCGCGGTGGAAGTAAAAAAAAAAAGTGTGGTGTGCAATATAGTACATTATACAGCGGCGCAGTGCAGAATACCAGCAGCTATAGAGGAATGTAGCAATACTACATATGTACTATTGCTGGGATTTGTAGTCCTCTGTAGCTGGCGTTATTCTGCATTGCGCTGTATATAATGTATTATTGCTGGGATTTGTAGTCCTCTGTAGCAGGTGGTATTCTCCATTGCGCTGTATAATGATTTATACTGCGCAATGCAGATTACCACTGACCAGTTATAGAGGAACAAATCCCAGCAAAAATACATTATATTTAGCAAAAAAGAACGGGGAAGGGAAGGTATATGCACAATATCTCTAATATAAATTAGATATAAATGGGGGTCCCCTAACTATTCAAAGTTATTTAGAAAAAGAAGTTTTCCCCAGGGAGAGGGGATCCCACCATTCTTTACAAAAACTACATACCAATTTAAATGGTGAAAAAGGTATAAATTATTTATTCATTAAAAATCCATATCTCTAAGACTCTACGTACACAAAAATCAGAAAAATACATTAATCAAACAATTAGATAAATATGTACACACAACAAACAGATAAATATATATACACGAAAATATATGACTGCAAACCGCCCATAAACTCATGAGTAGATGAGTGGGTTAATGAAAGAAATTTTCTTGACAATTAGGAGACATGCCGCTTAAAAAGCCAGATGTATTCGTATATTTTTGGTATAAAGACAAAAACAAGACGCTGTCCATAAGGTAAATTCCGATATATGCTGGGTTTCACGATAGTTGCCTTTGTATGAACTAAAGGACACAAAAAGTATCGGAGTTGTAGCCACGGAAAAAGCGTATCATGTGGACATGTGGACACAGCACCTCTGAGAATCGAGGGGGTGGGATGACACAGTGAATATGAGACGAGTGAGGGAGATCGCGTCGAGGAGTAGAGCTCCTCCATCTACGCTAAACTGTGTGGATGGAGGAATCTCCCGCTGGGCCAAGCTTCAGTATCTTGCCAGTCGGCCCCACTGGCTCTCAATACACCTGAACAATCTGATTGGTTGCAGGCATTGATCAGGTATTTTGGGAGCCAGCGGGGCCAACTAGCAAGATACTGGAGCTTGGCCCAGCGGGAGATTCCTCCATCCACACAGTTTAGCGTAGATGGAGGAATCTGTTGCACTTTTTCCATCTGACCATAGAAAGTCTGCAGATAATCTATAGGTGTATGGTCAGTTTTACACAGGCAGGTTCAGAAAGAAGGAGGCAATGTTGATCTAATCGGTAAATAGAACTTGGCTTCTGTTTTTCCAGGACGATTTATAAAAAGTAATTTGGATGCTTGCTCTCTGAGAAAGTGAAAATGAGAGGGTGGGGTGGTCATGGACTGTCCCCAGGAAAGAGGGTGAAATTGCGGATGAGTATGGGAATCAAGGACTAAACAGTGAATCAGCCATGCAAGAAATGGGCATGTAAAGGATAATTTTATCTCGCAAAGCATTGTCTTATCACAGCCTCAAATGGTTACCTTTCCTCAATAGATACTGCGTTGAAACTCTGTACAACCAGCCAGAAGTCAGTGTGTTATTTCAAGTGATGATAACCCATGGTGCGATTGTGAGATGACTTTTACAGTGATTTTATTATAACAACCTTTAACATTGACAATGTTATAATATCATTAGGAGGGGTACAATACAACTGTGCACAGAGCAGGCTAAATAAAGAGTGTGATGCAGTTTTGTGAAGTCAGACAATGGAAATCTATTTTGTAGGAGAGATGAGAGAACGGGATTAGAAAGTGTGAAAAGCATCTGTGAACAGATGGGCTTCAGGGGAGTGATTAGAAGCTAAAATGCTGCTGGATAGCCGAATAAAATAGGGAAGAGTGTCCCAATGGCCAAATATAACAAGAGGGAACTCCTATTACTGGGAATGAACGGTGGTTAAATCATTGTATGCTCAAGACTGAGAGCCCATCTGGAAAGATCACTCGTGTTGTCACAAGGCTTTCATTGGAAGATGACTTTTTTTTTTATTATTATTTGATATACACTGCAAAATCAATTTGCTGCACTTATTGCACATTTCCTTCAGCACAACAAAATGTATAACTTCAGATGAGGGTGTTTTTCAGGTTTTTTATTAAATACTTTTTATTTTTAATCATTGTTATTCTGTAGTGACCTTGATTTTATTTTGCAGAGTATTTGATAGCAGCAGCCTGGGCTCCACAGTTCCACTTCTCACTTCAATCAGGTAATATCTTCAAAGATACACAGAATCCACTTATCAGCTGAAATATTTTTGGATGGCCTAGAAAATGTACTTTTATATTGGCGGTTGTGTGCACAATAGGCCACTTAACCAAAGTAGCAAAAAAAAGTGAATCCTCTTTTTTTTACACATAATACTGCTTATATTCTTCTTGGCTTTCTTACACATCATGTTATTGTTTTGTTCCTTTTCTTTGCGGCTGGGCCTTTTTTAACCCAGAATGGAGCTCCTTCCCCTGCCACTCAATAAGCTGCGGCTGGAGAATTCCCTGACCTCAGCTCCACTTAAAGCAAAAGGGTGGGTTGCTGTGATGTCATTGACCTTAAATGGCTATATTTGGTCAATGACAGATCTAATATGGTCATGTGGCTGTGTAATGTTAGCACAAGCATCCCACCCCTTTGTTTATTTGCAGCAGCTGTGATGTCATTGACCTTAAATGGCCACATGGCTATATTTGGTCAATTACATACATGTAATATGGTCATGTGGCCATGTAATGTCAGCACAAGCATCCCACCCCCACCCCACTTTTTTTATCAGCAGCTGATTGGGTGGATGGCCCATGTCCCTTCTGAGTTTGGAGGAGCTCTGGTTCGGACCGTGTTTGTGTTGAACCTAAACTCATTCTTGGTGACAATTTGTAATCTGTTAGCTATGTATTAATGTTAACTTGTCATAAGAGAAATATAGAAGCTGCCATTGCTGGCCTGCTTCTGAAGATCCTAATTGCTTTCAACGCAATGCCTTCAGCACTTCAACCACTTGCTGTGCGGCCGTTGTAATTAAACGGCCGGACAGCGGCTTCTTGAGAGCGGGTGGGCGTTTTTAAACGTCCCATCCCGCTGGTGCCCGCCGCTAGGCGGCAGGCACGAGCGTGAATTAATCCTGCACTGTAAACAGCCAGCGATAGCTGTTTACATACAAGCGTTCGGGCGTCTGTAGAGACGCCCGATCGCTTGTAATAGGCGTGCGGGTGTGCGCCCCTCCGCCACAGCCGCTGCTGGCGATCCCGGGCTCCGCTGTGCCCAGTGCGAACCCGGGACCAACACAGCAGCTCTGTGGCCGGAGATCAAACAGAGCTCAGTACACGAGCTCCGTTTGATCTCCTCTTCTGAATGCAGGCAGTGATGTGTAGATGTGTATTACATCACTGCCTGCATTCAGTGTCACTCTCCGGTGCAGAAACCGGAGAGAAGCTGGTGAAGCAGATCTCTGCTTCATCAGCTTCTCTGGGGGTCCCTAGGTGACATTAGGGGTCTTAAAGACCCCTGATGTCTCCATAAAGAGGACCTGTCACTGAAAATTGGCTATCACAAAGGGGGCTTGTTAGTCCCCTGTGTGATGGCAATAAAGTTAAGTGGGGAAAAAAATGTTTAAAAGAATTAGTTACAAAAAAAATATATAAAAAAATTAAAAGTCATATATAAAGGCAATAAAAAAAATGTAAAAAACTGTTTTAAGTCCCCCGCCCCCCACATAAACATTCAAACATGCGTCGAGTGCGCCTAAGTGCGTGATGTTGCGTATCGCTGCGAACGTCGCAGTGAGAGCAATAAGTCAATCACTGATAACACTAAACTGATGAGCGGTAAAAGCTTTTAAAGCGTCGCCTATGGTCAATTTTGGGTTGGGTACGGTAGTTTTTGTGAGTACACGGACGCACGCAATTTTAAAGCTTAACATGTTTGGTGTCTATTTACCCGACGTGACCCCGACTTTTATATTTTGTCAAAAATTTGGGTAATAACTGTTTTATAACATAACGTAGGGAAAACAGTTTTTCCCCCAAAATTTTCGGTACTTTTTCCATTATACAGTAAAAAATAAAAACCCCCAGTGGTGATTAAATACCACCAAAAGAAAGCTCTATGTGTCCCCAAAAAATTGTATGAAATTAATTTCAGTACAGCGTTGTATGACGGAATAAATGTCAAAGTACCGCAGCGCTGAACACTGATAAATGGCCTGGACAGGAAGGTCAGCAAGTGGTTAAGCTCCTTAATTGGAACAATTATGCAGCAAGTAATGTTGGAACCCTAAAGGTGCCCATACACTGCACGATTATCGTACGATAATCGTATGCGATCGGTTTTTCGTACGATAATCGACCAGTGTGAACGGAGACGTGCGACCGTTTCTACTGTACGGTCGCACGTCTTCTGTCGAACCAGCATGTTCGAAAACCAGCCGGGAATCGTACGATTCTCGGCTGGTTAGAACGGTGCTCGGAAGATAAATGCTGAACGGGCCGGTGTGCGCACGCGCACACTGCCCGTTCAGCATTGCGGTCATCGGAAGCCCGCCCCTCAGGGGGGCGGGCTTGCGATGATCGAGAGTGCGATCTGCCTGTCCAAGATAGGCAGATCGTACGTTTTTTTAATCCCTTTACAACCATCGCAAGACTAAAGTCTTGCGATGGTTGTAGAGTGTATGGCCACCTTAAACCTGTGCTCGTCTTCTGAGACAACTCAGTTTTGAAGCCAGTTTGAGAAGCATGACAATCAGGCAACTGGCATTTTCATGAGAAATCCGTTCTATTTATTTTTCAGCCTGGCTGTTTTAGTATTTCCTGAGTCATTGATCTGGAGCCAGCAAGCAGTTGAGAAGTTCTGGCTTCATGCTGCATTCTTGTACTGGATCAGTGACCTGGAAGACGCATTTCCAGGATCCGTATGACTGCCAGACAACCAGTGCTTACAGGGGAAAATCAACGCCTGCAGCCTCCCCATCTTTCTTGGCAATTTCCTTTAAGGCTACCTATGTTATATGCTGGATGTTTCTCTCCTTCAGGATGCAGGCAGTCTATTATTGCCATTTATCTGCTGGGTAATCCTTTTACAGAATGTCATCTTTTTCCATTATAGGCATAATAACTTCACAGGCCGCTGGTTAAGCCGCTTCCAAGCAGTATGGGACCCTAAGCAAGAGGATTGTTTTGTGATCGGCAGCATGGAGAGACCTCGGCAGATTCAGGTTTTCCATGAGGACGGGAACCTCGTACATGTTTTGTGGGATGCTGAAAACCTGAACTCTGTGTGTTCCATCAATGCTATACACCCCACCAGAAATATAGTAGTGGGTGGGAACAGCAGTGGGAGGCTACATGTGTTCCGGAACAAATCTAGCTAATACAGAAAGCTCTTTGTTATCAGACTGAAAAGCGGTGATCCGAGCTGGAGGTTTCTGCAATTACTTGAAATATTCCAGTGGTGGACTAATCACCTTTTATGTACAAGATCGAATGTTTTTCTTTTGGGTTTTTTTCTGTAATATATTTTTACTTTGTTTGCATATTTGTATGTGGAACGATGGGATTTGTGTATGTTTTGTATGGAAAAAATATATTTACATATGTTTTACTAATAACTTACAGTGTGGATGGTTCTTCGTCTGACCAATAGAAGTCCCAGTACACATGCATTAGGCCTATGTGTGCACATTCTTCATTGTGTCTGTATGTTTTCCTGCCTAGTGGTCATTGTGCTCCATTCAGTCTGCTCCTGTACAGTGTGACGCTGGCTGATCTCTTCCACAGCTTAGGAAAAAGGTAAGTATACATAAATTGTCCTGTAAGGCTCTGTTCACACCTAGGCGTATCGAATATGTGCGTTTGTCGCGCGTTTCATAACGCGCATTTTTACCGCGATTAGCGGTAAAAAAAACTGCACGACAAATGCGCGTTTCCGAGGGCTACTTGGCTGTATCCCAATGGAAACGCGCGACAAAAACACCGCAAAGACACTCATGTACCTTTTCAGGTGTAGGCCGTTTTGTAGCGCGTTCAGACGGGCTGAAATACGGCAAGGTGTGAACCATACCCATAGAAAACAATGGGATTTTCATGTTTGAGCGTTTTGTAGAGCGTTCGTAGAGCGTTGAACGCGCTACAAAACGTACAGGTGTGAACCAGGCCTTAAGCCTGTTCTTGTGATATCGCTTGTATCAAAGCAGCATATCTGTGAAGCTGAACAGATATTTATAAGGACATCACAGAATTGGGCTTGCTCCAGTACACTTTGCATTGCTACAGTTACCATTGCTCAGTGATGCCAATTTGTCTGCGTGTGCTGTGCTTCCAGGGTCTGCTCCGTCAGCTCCCACCACTGTATATAGCATATTGATTTCAGTGTGCTGAGATGGTTACTAATGAGTGTCTCCCATGTAGTGTGTGAGAGATATGTAAGCTGCCACTGCTAACCTTTCCTTCTGAAAAAACAAGTTTCCTGACTTGGTGCTGCAGAAGTGCTGACACTTCTGAGTTGGTCACTGACCTTGAGCATGTATGTAGAGCCTGAGGACGAGTCTCTAGCCAACAATGTGTATGTAGAGCAGGAGGTCGGGTCACCCACCCACAACATGTATACAGAGCAGGAGGTTCAGTTTCTGACCCATAATATTAAAGCTGAAAAAAACCAGGGAACTATTTTGGAAGCCTCGGCAATGGCAGCCTCTAACATTTCAGCACAAGTTTCTCTTAAACTCCAGGGAGGGAATGTCAGGAGGTTATGCTGGTAAATCAGGGTGTGTGTCCTTGGCACTTCATTTGAGGAAATCTCTTCAGTGCAGAAAGAAGCATCCTCTGATCAAAGGAAGTGAATGAGGGAGGGATTCAGTGTAGAATCAGGTGCATTGTGATTAATGACTGCTACATTATTCCAAATTCACATGCACAGTACATCTGATTAGTTTTTCTATCTGCTCCAATCTTGGCCAATTCCCCCATTGAGTTTTCAAATAATGTGAGATAATCTAAGTATCTGCGTCTAGTCCTAGATGCGGCTCGGGACAGAGTTTTTCTCCCCCAGGAGAAACTTCAAATTCCCTGCTCCCCGACTCATACTCTTCAGTCCAGGAGTCGTCCAACTCTCCACTCTTCCATCTTTCTCAAGGACCGATTCCCTGGATTTATCTGCATGGCTGTTGAAGCTCATGTGAGGGTCAGGGGCATATCTAAATCTGTAATTCCCATGATGCTGAAAGGAGTTTTCATTCTGGTAAAGTCTGTTTATTGCACCTGTAGGCATACTTCACCTGGTGTGAGTCTTGAGACTTCCAAACTAGTAGATTCACTGCGAGTATCCTCTCCTTCCTACAGCTATTTGGACCAGCATTTGGCTCTCAGCACTACTAAGGTACACAGGTCTGCAGTACTGCAGGTCTCCGTTCTTGCTGTCTTGTTTCAGAGACTCCCATTCTTTGATTAAGACCTTTGTTCAGGTTGTCTTCCATGTGGCTCCTCCCCCTGTGCATTCACCATTTGAAGCAATCAGACATTCCCCTTTCCAATCTTACCCATAAGGTGGTGTTTCTTGTAGCCATCACCTATGCAGAGCAAGTGTCTGAGTTGGCAGCCTTCTCCTGTAAAGAACCCTTCAGGACCTGCGCAAGGACTCGGTGGGGTTGAGGCTCAGAATTTCCTTCCTACCCAAGGTAGTTCCAGCCTTTCACCTCAACCAGGAAATGGTTCTGCCCCCCTCTACAGCTCCAGTCCATCAAAAGGGTATTTCCCTCCATTGTCTTGATGTGGATTGGACTGCGAGTCTATCTCTCAGCCGTGGTTTCCTTCAATAAGGCTGATTATGTTTGGTCCCCGCAAGGGTGTGCCAGCTTCTTGTTCCACCATCTCTAGGTGGCTCAGACAGACCTTCATTCAAACTTGGTCTCATGGTTCAGGTGTTACCCTAGTCAGGGAATTTGCTAGGTCTGTGAGTGCTTTCTAGGGTTGTGGCCAATAAGTTTGTTTCTCAGATTTGTAAGGCTGCCAACCTGTCTTTTGTTCACACATTCTCTAAGTTCCATGAGGTGAATGCTCAGGCCTCCTCCGATGCCAGCTTTGGGCATAAAGTCCTTCAGACAGATCTCTGAGCTGCAAACAGACCCTAGTTCTGTTGGGTTTTTTTAGTGCTGCGGAAATGAACGATGAATTCCTCGATTAATCGTTCATTTTTTTGATCGATTAAAAATTTTTTGATCGTTACCTCTCCGCCGGCTTCCCGGATGTCACCGGACTCCTCCCCTTCCCCGAGTGGCTCCACAGGCTAACGAAGGGAAGGGGGGAGGAGTCCGTTGACGTCCTTCTATAGTGCAGTGCATGCTGTGCTGGTTCTCCTGCTGTCACGGATCTCTCCACCATTTAAGACGCCGCTCTCGGTCTCCAACTCAACCCCTCCGGCATCGTGGGTTTCCGTCTCACTCTGCTGACATCCAGAAACCGCAAGTAGCCTGGGTCGTCTGACCCTACCTTCAGTCCTGTTACAAACGTTATCCTGATCGTTATAACTAGAGGTGGGCATTGATTAGGGAACAGCACCACCTACTGGGGACTCCTAATAGAGCCTGCTGCTTATTTCCTATGAGGTATACTGTGGATTCTGGACTATGCTATAAATGCCTGGAGATAACCATTGATGATTATTGCCTATACCCTATACCCTATACTGTGGATTACTGAACTGTGTAATTACTACTAATTTATAACTCCAATACTGATATTACTCACGATCTGTGTGGTGACTTCTGAACTGTGAGGTTACTACCTAGTGTTACTACTAAGTTTAACCAACTACATTGGCCTATACACATACAGCACAGCAATGAAGTAATAAAATGAACTAGGATCACACTAATCCAGCACGTTATTATTCTGAGTTGCCCCACTCAAGCGGCGGCCATATTGAGTGGGGCACGTGAGATTAATAACGTGCTGGATTAGTGTGATCCTAGTTCATTGTATTACTTCATTGCTGTGCTGTATGTGTATAGGCCAATGTAGTTGGATCTGTGTGCGTTATAATTAATCAAAATCAATCGATTAAAAAAAAATTCAATTAATCGAACACGAAAATTTTAATCATTACCAGCCCTATTTTTTGTTGTTGTTGACCTGTTAGCATTGGTTTGCTGGGTTGCCCACCCATCATTTGGGATGCCCTGAAGGTTCAGCCTTTCTGTGTCCTTCAATGGACAAAAGAAAATAGGATTTTTGTACTCAACATTGAAACCGTTTCTTGAAGTCCATTAAGGTACACAAGTCCCACCCCTATGAGTTCCTGGCACACAACACAACACACAGCTTGATAAATCCCTGGCACGAGTTGCTATAGTGACTTGAAAAAGGACCTCTCAAGAGCATTTTCTATATTCAAGTTCTCAGGGCTGTTTGACCTGAACCCTAACTTGAAACAGAAACCCAATTACGTTGAATGGCTTCCTAACAGAGCTGCTTTTTAGTGGTCATATAAGAGTTGGCAGCAGTGGTATCACTATCTTTTGTGCAAGCAGAAAATTCCTTTACGGGTGGAATCGCATCAATGCTTGCAGGTTTTACAGAACTCCAGACAAAAGTGTTCTTAACCCGCACTGCAAGGGTCACCTGCTTGTTTTTGTCTTGGTGCTAAAAAAAGTTATCCTCACCTGAACAGCCAAGCCGGTTGCCTGCTACATTGGTCCCTGAAGCCTCCCTCCTTCTATGCTGCAAAATTGGAATGTCCTCACATCTATACACTGTGTATAAAACATGATGATTTACGGGACCATAGACTGCTGGAACGGAGGGGGAGAGAGGCTCCAGGAACTGGTCTAACAATAAGCCGACTCTTAGGATTGGGTGAGTATAACATTTTTTTTCTTTGTAGCACGTAACCCTTGTACGGGGTAGCTCCACTGCAAGGGTTCAGAAGCATTCTGCCCGGAGTTCTGTTTTAATGGCACTGATGAATGACACCCCCAAGCACATATACTACATCAATAAATGGACCTATGCTACAGCTCACCACAACACAGCTGTGAATGGCTCTGTGCATTGTGAAGTGCTGCATTGACCAGAAATAATACAGGTCCATTTTAGGAAGTGTTGAGGCTCATCAGGGGCCCATTTAAAGTAAATGAATCTAGTGGGACTAGAACCTCAAACAAGGTACCTTCAAGGCCCTGTTCACACTAGGGTGTTTTTTTTCTACGCTGAAACGCATGCAATTCCTATGGGGGCTGTTCACACAAACGCGCATTAAAATACGCCTGCTGTTTGAAATAGTCCCATAGCTTTTGTGGCACTCATCAGCTCGTTTTGCTCCATAGACTTCAATGGAAATACGCAGATCAGCGCGACTGTGTGCAGTTTTTAGTACGTTTTTGCAGCTGAGACTGCTTTTCATTGGACAACTGTACAATC